GGATACTCTTTTCTTTAATTTCATGCATAATCATGATATATTTTTATCAGTCTTTTTCATAGTAACTTTGGCTTTTGCTGATTTCATTTATTTTATGATTGTTTCCTTTTCTCCTGCTTCTTATGTATCTTCTCTTTTCTAATTATTTGGATTTAATTTGACATTACGTTTTACATTTTTGCGATTGACAATTAGATTTTTAATTTTCAAGCTTTATTTTTTTAAACATATTTATGTAACCATATACATTTATCTCCAAGCTGAGGTTTGCCTAAATCTCCCAACGTTTAACAAGTAGTATTTTTACTTTCATTTTTATTAAATTCAAAATACATTTTAATATTCACCGTAGTTGCCTTTTTGATCCATGAATAACTTAGAAATGTGATGCTTAATTTCCAAACATTTGTTCACTTTCAAAGTCTTGCTACAGATTTCCAGCTTAATAACATTGTTGTACAAAAAACACTGTCAAGTATTTCAAATTTTTGGTATTTGTTGATTCTTGTTTTGGGCCTAACCTCAGCCTCTATCTATCTATCATCTATCTATCTATCTATCTATCTATCTATCTATCTATCTATCTATCAATCAATCAATCATCATGTATCTACCTAGAGAGACAGAGATATCTATAGATATCTATGGTAAATTTTGAAACATGTTCTAAATACACTATAAAAAATTGTGTGTTTTGCTATTTTGGGGTGCAGTTCTTATGTCAAAGTATTTAATCCTACTGCTTTAAATTTCTGTATTATTATTGATATTTTGTATCCTTTTTGCTATCAGTTATTGAAAAAGATATATTAAAGTCTTTATGATTGAAGATGTGCCTATTGCTCCTTTAAGTTCTATAAATTTTACATGTGTGTTAACTGTGTGTGAGTGAATATAAATACACAAGTTTGACAATTTCCTCAATAATTGATTCTTTTATGTGGATGATGTATACATCTTCCTCTCAGGTAATAATTTCTGCCTTAAAATCTCTATTGTCTGATATTAACATAGCTAAACAAATTTTCATTTTGCTTGTGTTTGATTACCTTTTACATACATATATGAAAGTTTTTTAAAATTAAGATGGCTCTATAGATAGAAGATAGAAGATACATAGATAGATGATAGTAGATATCTTCTACAGATACAGATATGTATATGTGTATATACATATATATAGATATAGTAACATTTGTATTTATATGTCTATTTATATCTATATATAAATGTATACATGTAGATATGTATATATGTGTATCTACATATATATCTGCATGCCTATCTATATCTATGTGTGTATATATCTATATACATGTAGATATGCTTGTATATACATATATACATAGATACCTATGCATATATATATCTATATGTATACATGTAGATATATGCATATCTATATACACATAGAAATGTAGATATAAACATGTATCTATATGTGTATAGAGTTATGTGTAGACATATATATATACACAGAGAGAGATAGTTCTATATAGAGAACCATCTATCTCTAGCTAGAGATATCTATCAATAGATATCTCTACCTATCTATCTCTAGATAGATTATCTATCTACCTAATCTATCTATAGAACTATCTTAAAACCATCCTAATTTAAAAAATCAAGATTCATCTTAATTTAAAAATCTTAATTTAAAAGTTAAGAACCATCTTTATTTTGTGATTCTTATACACCATGGAATACTAGGCAGCCACAAAAAAGAATGAGATCAAGTCCTTTGCAGGAACATGGATGGAGCTGGATGGAGGTCTTCA